GACTTAGATACCAATGATCCGAACAATCAATATTGCAATGCAGCCCTGAACATACATCATCATCATCGTTCCATGGTGTGAAAGGGGCCTGGCGCCTCACACAGGAAGACTGCACCATCCCCAACCATACACAGAGGAAGAAGAAGGGGGTTAGACGAAGAGGAGGGGAAGATGGGAATGTCGTCAACACCAAGTSTTCAGCACAGGCCCAAATAGTCCCTCGTCAAAATGTCTGAATCCCAAATGTCGAGTCTGGATCGAATGTCGTCAAGTCTCAAGTCACAACTCTCTCTCTCTCTGTCGTATTCTGAGAAGTCAGGTGGTGAGAGGGTGAGAAGAGATGGTGGACTTAGAAAGGAAGGAGAAGAACTCTCTCTCTCTGTGTGTCCAGTACTAACCTGTGAAGTTGGTGCCTTGATGCAGGTACCTTGAAGATGGAGCTGGAGCTATGGCGCCACAGTTAAGTACCGCTGGCCTCCGCCAGCCATCTCCCTCCAATGCTACTACTACCACCTACTAGCGCCCAGCGCTGAAGACTACACCTACAGCTATGGGCGCCCAGCGCTGAAGACTACTGCTAGCGCTGAAGACWACTGCAGCGCTCCTCMYGAGTGCTGCGGCCGAAYCYTGAAGACTACTCGTGCCTACTGTCCAACTACCTACCTGGGAAGTGCATGGGAAACCCCTATGTACTACTCGGCCTGGACTGGCTGCAGGCGAGGCAGCAGTCCAGGAGGCTGCTCTTGCCAATGCCAAAGGCAGTCAGGGGCTGCCGCCGCAGCTCGTGCTCAAGGCAGTCGTGGGAACAGGCTAAAGACAGCCTGTTCTGAAAACCCTAGTTTTGTGCCTGAGGTTTAGGGTAGGTCGATCTTATGAGGGCCTGAGAATGGCCCTCTGTTTCAGGCTGAAAAGCCTCTGGGCCTGAAAGGCCCAAAAATAGGCTGAAAACGGAATAGGGCCTGCAGGCCCTCGTTTTCAGTTTCAGGCTGAAACGACCGGGGCCTGTAAGCCCTATTTTCTAGGCTCTTAGGCTGAAAGTGCGGGACGGGCCCTGCAGGGCCCGTGTGGCTACGCAGTATGCCACACCCCCCCCTCCTTGAAAGACCGAGCTTACCTGCGAGGGCGAAGCTGTCTGTCTTAGGGAGGAACCACAGTCCGGGTGGGAGGGGCCGGTCGTGAATCTTCCTTAGCTAACCTTTGCTTCTCATAATACGCGTAGATCAGCGGTGCGGATGCTTTCAAATCTGCTCCTGAAATCCACCGAGTGTCGTCGTGATCGCAGGCTTTGAATGTAACTTTGTACTGTCGCGGCTTGCTGCTGTACTTGCGATCGGTGATGACGCGGTCAACTTCCTGATGACCATCCATAGAAGGAGGGTCATGTGATCGTCGGCCCGGAAAGTCGTCGCTCTTACCTGGCGTGTATGTTGCCAGCTTTGAGGCGTGAAAGATTGGATGGACCGTCAAATGCGGGGGGATGTTGATCACAAATGAAGGGCCCTCGGGCTCGTCGCCCGCTGCTGATGTTACGTGCCATGGTCCAAACCACTTGGGAAGCAGTTTGCGTGAGACATCCTGTTCCAGTGCAAACTCTTCCGCGGAAACCCAAACCAGGTCGCCGGCGCGGATGGGACATGGCAGGCGATGCCTGTTGGCTTGCTGCTGCATGCAGACTTGAGCCTTTTGCATATTCGCGCGGGCTTGAGCCAACAATTCCCTGTACTTCCGGACGGAAGCGGGAGAGCAAGCGGCATCGATGTCGGCTGGTCGTGGGAGGAGAAGGTCGGCGAAGATACGACCTTTCCGTCCACCGTGGTGCAACTCGAATGGAGTCACGCTGATGGCCGGGTGCACCGAAGTGTTGTAGGTGAACTCGATGTCGGGGAGGGGGTCAACCCAATCTTTCTGGTCCGGACGGATGAGCGTACGAAGCATCATTTGAGCGGTCTGATGTGCCCGCTCCGTCTGCCCGTTTGTCTGTGGATGCCGAGCCGAACTTGGCTTCATCTTCGTGCCGGACTCCTCCATGAGTGCAGTCCAAAATGCCGACATGAAGCGAGTGTCGTGGTCACTGACTATGTCTTCCGGTACACCATGGCCGCAAATCCAGCCGGTGTGCAGGAGGCGTGCCATCTCGGGAGCCGTGGAGTAGTACTTGGAAGGGAGAAAACGCGCGTACTTACTCAATCGGTCCACGACCGTGAGGATGCCGTCGTGTCCGAGGCGGTCGTGGGGGAATGGTCCGGTGACATCCATGGCAATGGAGAGACCGGGTTCCTGCAGAATCGGAATCGGGCGCAGCTCACCGTAGGGGTTGCGGTTGCGGGGTTTGCTTCGTCAGCAAACTTCGCAAGAGTCGCAATACCTCGTGACGTCGGTGATGAGGTCGGGCTATCGGAATTGCTGTCGAAGTCGTGCAATAGTGCGGTTGACTCCGAAATGGCCTGCGAGTCGCGAATCATGATACTCGCCGAGGAGGCGAGTCCGAAGACGACGGTCGCGTGGGACACATAGTAAGTCCTTGCCCCGCGAGTGCAGGAGCAAGTACCCATCGGTGATGCGATAGTGGCTGGCCGGCGGGTGATCCGAAGATAGCTGCGCATACAGCGTGGCGAAATCTGGATCGGACTCATAGCCCCTGATGAAGTGTCGCTGAAGCTCCTCGTCGAATGCCAAGGGATGATGTATCATAGCGCAAAGATCAGGTCTTCACGAGAGTGCATCTGCTGCACGATTGGAGAGGCCAGGAAGATGTTTCGGTGTGAAGTCACATTGGTCGATGAAGTACGTCTGTCGTCCGATCGTGCTGCTCACTGTATCCTGCGTCTTGTAGTAGGTCAATGGATTGTTGTTTGTGACCCATGTGAACCTACGATGCCCAAGGAGGAAGTGCCGCCAGCGCTTGAGAGCCATCACGAATGCGAGCAACTCCTTCTTCCTTGCATCATCAAGCGAGTTGAAGGGAGGCACTTTGTGGCTGAAGTACTCCAGAGGGTGCCAGACGTCGCCGTCGTGTTGTTCCAAGACTGCCCCAATGCCATAGCCGGAAGCGTCCGTAGTCACTCTCGTCGGCAACGTGGGGTCATAGATGCTAAGGACGGGTGCCATGAGCATGGTCGTCTTGAGTGCTTGGAATGACCGACGTGCGTCGTCATCGAATACGAATGGCACCTTTGGCGATTGTAATCGCGTCATAGGTGCAGCAATCCTCGAGTATCCGGTGATGAATCGCTGATAGTAGCCCGCCAACCCCATGAATGAACGAACGTCTGTGGTGTTGGTGGGCTCAGGCCATACTCGTAGGGCCTCGATCTTGTCCGCAAGCGGACGGATGCCTTGCGGCATTACATAATGTCCCAAGTACTTCAGCTCCTGCCGCGCGAATTCGCACTTGTCGCGGTTGGCTTTGTACTTGGCTTGTCGTAGCCGCTCCAAAACGGTGCGCAGGTGTTCCACATGCTCGTCCAAACTCCGGCTGTACACCAGGATGTCGTAAAGGTAGATAAGTACGTATCGATCCAGCATGTGTCGGAACTCCGTTGTCATAGCTGCTTGGAAAGTGGCCGGGGCATTCGTAAGGCCAAATGGCATAACCAGCCATTTGAAATGCCCATATCGCATCTTAAACGCGGTCTTGTAGCGATCCTCCTGCCGAATCTCGAGTTGGTGATATCCTGACTTGAGATCGAGCTTGGAGAAGAACTTGGCGCCGCCCAATCGCTCGAGAAGGTCGTCGATGCATGGGAGAGGGCCAGCGTTTCTGATCATCTGCGCGTTGAGCTTGCGATAATCGATGCACAACCGCAAATCCTTGTTCTTCTTCCGGACGAAGAGAACAGGAGCACCGTATGGTGATGAGCTAGGCCGAATCCAACCTTTCTCCAGAAGGTCGTCGAGTTGTGCCTGAAGCATACTTAACTCTTCCTCGCTCATTCGGTAGATGCAACCGCGCGGAGGTACGGCCCCGTCCTCGAGGATGATCTCGTGGCGGATGGGCCGATCCGATACTACTCCGTGCGGGCCTTCGAACACGTCGCCGTAGGCGTCGAGAAGCTCGGTGATGCGTGGATCCGGAGAAGAGTCCGTCCATAAAGCATCATGGGGCGGGAGGGCGTGGAGAAAACACACCCCCATCTCGTCGATGTCGTCTCTGATGATGGAAGCTCGCATGCTTGTGGCGGATACCACGTGGCAACTGATCGAAGGATGAGGAAGAGGCACCGTGCATGGGACTAGTACTCCGTTCCGATCACGAATGTGAACAGTGCGGTGGTAGAAGTTCACCGGGTGATCCTCGCTTCGCAGCCATGACATGCCCAAGATCATGTCGAATCTGGTGTCCAGAATGTCAAAGGACACCGCCTCACTTGCGTGAGGGGCAAAGTACACGGGGACGTCATCAATGCACCGGTCGATTCACTTGTGAGTGTGACCGTCCGCCAACGTGACTTGCGTAGGCTGGGACTTCCTCCTGACGCGTGGGCCAAGGCCGGCGCGCACCATGAAGTCCTGGTTGATGTAGTTGCGAGATGCTCCGCAATCGATCAAAGCGTTGCAGGTCGCTTCTCCGATCTGAATGCGTACATATAGCAATGGTGCATCGATGTCGTCGTACCGTTGCGTCTTGAACTCGCGGTCGATCTTCGCAATGTAGGCGGGAAGGTCGACAACCTCTACTCCGGCGTCCATGAACGGAGTCGGTACTGCAGTGTGCAAGTAATCCCGCAATTGTGCCATGAGCACATTGCAATGCGGTTTCGGCAATCGACCGGTCGGGGGAACGGGTATCCACTGGAAGTCCGTGAACATTAAAGGGTCGAGCTCTTCAAGTCTTGACCATGACGTCGAATCCCTGGTGATAGATTGCGGCGAAGCTGCCGAATCGGTTGCCGATGGTGATGAAACCGTGCATGCGGTAGATTGTTGCACGTGGAGCGGTTGGTCCAACGGTGGGACCAAGTGGACAGCATAGTCCTCGTAAGTGTACCAAGAACTTACGACATTCGCATCCTCCCCAGATGTGTAGGAGGCCGCTAGCAAGGCGGCCAAATCTGGCCGTGTGGGAGGTGGAGTCGCCTCACCTCCCGCGAAACTCAGTTTCCCGAGTTGAGACGAGGCCGCACATCCTCCTTGGCCTGATCCTGGCAAAGGGAGGTCTTGTGCTTGGTGTTGTTGCACCAGTAACAACAGCCGTAACGGCCGCGGTACTTGTACTCGGCCTCAGTCAAGCCAAACTTGACCCATGGTGGTGCAAGCTGTCCATTTCCGGCCGGCGATGCTGATTTCACCTTCCCGTTACCTCGGGACTTGTTATTGCTTCGCGGCTGGACAGCAGCCACTTTGGATTGTTGCCATCCGTGTTCGTCAACTGCAGTTGCTGGACCTCGGTCTTCAAAGTATCCAACTGATTGCTGATGGTGGTCGGCGCAGCAAAGGTGCTGATGTCGCCGAGCATTGCGACGACGTGGTCGACGCGCTGCTCCAGTTGGTGGTTAGAGGGTGCACTGCTGGACTCACCAGCATCTGCTCCTGGTGCGGCTTGCTCCAGGTCCAGTACACGGGAATTGAGTGCCCGTGTAACATCCTCGTGGCTCTGCACTATCCGGCGGAGGTTTGCCAGCTCCTGGTGCTGTGTCTTCAGACCTTGGTACTGTTGATGCAGTTCCTGGTTCTGTCTCTCTAACTCGGACTGTTGGTAGTTGCAAGCGTACAACATTCGTTTCACGAGTTTGGAGAGGAACTCCTTATGCTGCTCTTCCGGTGTCGCGTCGTCGCCGTTGGATGGTTGAAAGTGTCAGAACTTGAGTCTTTCGATGCTGGCAGCTTCATGCCGCCGAAGCAGATCCTGGGCTTCCTTGCGGCGTGCCTGGGCATCTGCGTCTGCTTCGGCCAGTAGCCGCTGCGTCTCAGCTATTGCCGCTGCTTCAACCTGTAGGCGGGCAGCCTCGGCTGCCAGCTGGCGCTGTTCCTCAGCCTCGATCAGAGCGAGCTGAGCCTGGAACCGCTGTTTGTAGTCTGCAAGAGACTCGTTGGCCAATTGGCCTGGCATGCCCAGAGCTAGGCCCGTCATGGTGGCGGGGCACTGCTGACGTGGCACTGTTGCTTACGTGGCACTGCTGACGTGGCACTGCTGACGTGGCACTGTTGCTGACGTGGCACTGTTGCTGACGTGGCACTGTTGCTGACGTGGCACTGCTGACGTGGCACTGTTGCTGACGTGGCACTGCTGGCGTGGCACTGTACCAAACCAGAAATGCATGCAAAGGGGTGGGTGGGGAGGGAAAACGCAGGTAGGGAACCAACCCAACAATACTTTTCTCCCGCCCTAATCAACAGATAAAAAAAATAGAAAAATAAAAGAGGACTACTCCCTTTTTTTTTTCTTTTTTTTTTTGTATATCTGTCGATCTGTTATGAGTGAGACATGTCAGAAGAGTACTATGAACGAGATCTAGGCTAGGTTCTGCAAAGTTTCGGCTTTCACAAAAATGCGATCTTGAAAAAAAAATAACAATAAAATAAAATTGCGAAATGGAGTAAAGATGCGATTTTCAGAAAAGAACGAAATCCAGTTTCCGAGAATATAGCAACCTCCGAATATGCCTAACGAAATGTTGGTAGGCTTCGCAAGATTTCGGTTTTCAAAAAAAATTTTGCGCGATAGAATGGAAATTCGATTTTCAGAAAAGAATAATTTTTGTTTCCAAGAATATGACCACTTCTATCGTTATCCCAATATGCCTAGAAAATGAATACTAACATGAGAAATTTTCAGCTATGTATGCGAAATATCAGAGAAACGAAATGCTACTATCGGGAATTTTCAGACAAAACGAAATGCGATTTATCAAAAATTTTCAGATATTTGTTACGTAAAAACGAAATACCAATATCAGAAATTTTCAGGTAAAATGAAATGCGAATATCAGAAATTTTCAGATAGTTGTTGCGAGAAAAAAAATTCAGAGATTTGACGAAGTCTTTCTTGATTTACTGATGAGTAATCAATAGATCAAGCAAGTTGGCTACTTGATTGAGCGGGTCCTCTGAATGAGAGGTCCGCTCCGATATCAAACTGTTGCATACTGTAACGGTGCAGACCAGAACAAGAACCGACCTCTCAATACAAAGTACAAGATAGCGTAGCGGAAGACTTAGATACCAATGATCCGAACAATCAATATTGCAATGCAGCCCTGAACATACATCATCATCATCGTTCCATGGTGTGAAAGGGGCCTGGCGCTTCACACAGGAAGACTGCGCCAGCCCCAACCATACAGAGACGAAGAAGAAGGGGGTTAGACGAAGAGGAGGGGAAGATGGGAATGTCGTCAACACCAAGTCTTCGGCACAGGCCCAAATAGTCCCTCGTCAAAATGTCTGAATCCCAAATGTCGAGTCTGGATCCAATGTCGTCAAGTCTCAAGTCACAACTCTCTCTCTCTCTGCCGTAGTCTGAGAAGTCAGGTGGTGAGAGGGTGAGAAGAGATGGTGGACTTAGAAAGGAAGGAGAAGAACTCTCTCTCTCTGTGTCCAGTACTAACCTGTGAAGTTGGCGCCTTGATGCAGGTACCTCGAAGATGAAGCTGGAGCTATGGCGCCACAGTTAAGTACCGCTGGCCTCCGCCAGCCATCTCCCTCCAGTGCTACTACTACCACCTACTAGCGCCCAGCGCTGAAGACTACACCTACAGCTATGGGCGCCCAGCGCTGAAGACTACTGCTAGCGCTGAAGACTACTGCAGCGCTCCTCA